TTCCACGTCCGTGCATTCCGTCAATCTTTGCAATTTTCAGTATGCCCTCTGATTTCAGGGATTACAGGGGTAGGGGTGCATTGCATGCAAAAAAATGGAGGTACATTCTTAAAGTAGAGACTTCAAGCTTCATTTTGAAAAAAAAATCATTCGTCTACGATAATTTTTCGCGAAGTGATCGGCAGTCAAAATTGGCCAATTTTCGGCAAATATTTTCTATGCTATAATTTTTTTGAGCAGTGTAAATACAATGAAAATAAAAAAAATATAATCTTCAACAACATCCATAAAATTCGAATATTATTTTATCAGTATTATTTCTTTAAAGATAAGAAAACTTTTTTAACAAAAAGACGTACATATTGGCCAAAGTGGATTTATATATATAGTAAAATATACTTAATATACTAAAATATAGGAGCACAGTTCAAATTCAGCACTTCGTAAGCTGTTGCGCGCGCTCCCAAAACCGCGATTAAATGCAAGATATGCAATTCGTTGCAATATGCAATTAAGACATCGCGACCTAGTACCGAAAAATCACCTACTTTCGGACCATAAAAAGAGAGATAACGAGTACCTCGGGGCCGTATTCCGAAACTAAGTGGTGACGCGTATACTTGAAGAAACTGTGAGATTCTGTAAACGCCGACATTGTTACATCGCCGAAGCATCACCAAACCGAACTCTACGATACGTAAGCTGTACAAATAAATCTTTTTGCACGGAATCTCTGCCTCGTGTTTCTCGACACTCGGAGTCCCAACTCCTAAGACGAACCGAACCCTTGGATCATCCTCAAAATTCCCGTTGTACCTGGAGAGGCACAACAATATATATATAATTATAATCGGCAATGTAATTTATATTATTTAAAAAAGAGAGATACGCGCTGACAATTAATTTACTATATTTACAATTGAAATAAATTTAAGAAACTAAATACACATACACTTACACACGCACTCACATATATATTCGTAATAAACTTCCGCAAATTGTTCTCAAATAAAATTTAATTTTAGACGTTGCAAGCGTTTCTACCAAGTATGATTGAAAAGAATCGCGGTCATGTTGTGGCGATCTCATCACTAGTAGCATATCAGGGCGCTACACATGGTACGGTTTATTGCCCCACAAAATCCGCGGTCAAAGGTAATTTAATCTTATCATAATCTTACGTGTGTAAAGCACATGATTATTAATGTTCATAGTAAATCGACAAACATTATGCGCATATATTCAAAGTATAAAAAAGATTAAATTGCAGAGCATGTTTTCTAATATTTCCTTCATGTGCGTGTTACAGCACTTATGGAAGCTGTCAGCGATGAATTACGTACATATAGCAAAGGTAAATCCTTGATTAAATTCACTACCGTTTATCCGGCTCTAGTACTTACTGGAATTGTCAAAAAGCCAAGAATAAGGTATGTTGACATAATGATATAAAATTGACGAATTGTAATTAATATTTCGTAATAGCGATGGTGTGTAAATTTATAAAGTTATAATTTTTTTCATACATTTTATAAATTAGCGTATAAAAACCTAGTGTCTTTTATTGTATCATAGATCTTACATTACTCACACACATCAAAAATATTATACATTAAAGTAATAAGACATTTTTATGATAATTATTGCTGATAGATAATTTTATTTTATTTATCAATAATAGATTTCCAAGTATAATGGGAGGAATTCCACCGCAGAAAGCAGCTTCACTAATAATGGATGCGTAAAGACAAAATTTCAAAGAAAGAAGTATACCTTCAGGTTGGCTGCCGATATTATATTTAACGAGGTAAATCGTGCAAATAAAAATTCTATTATTAAATACGCATGATATATTTTCAAAAAATCACTACATATGTTAATAAACTACAAAGCGATTCATAAATCGCTAATAAATGCAAATGCTATTATACTACGATTATATTATTTCCGTCCGTATATATTCTCTATAACAAAAATATTTTGATTTCAGAATTTTGCCCAACAAGGTAATTTGGTGCATAAATGATTTCATAGGTTTCAACGCTGATGAAGAAGATTAAAAAATATGGAAAAATATGGGTCTATATACATCATTACATATTACATATATGTATATCTTACAATATATAGGGTAAAAACTGTCTTCTCAGATATCTTCATAAATATTTATTAGACACAAAAACGTTTAGGATAACAGTTAGATAATTTTGAAAGGGCTACATTTTTGTAGTTTTAGTCTTTTTTTTTAGGTGGAGTTTATTAGGTGGAGTTTGAAGAAGATTAAAAAATATGGAAAAATATGGGGCTATATACATCATTACATATTACATATATGTATATCTTACAATATATAGGGTAAAAACTGTCTTCTCAGATATCTTCATAAATATTTATTAGACACAAAAACGTTTAGGATAACAGTTAGATAATTTTGAAAGGGCTACATTTTTGTAGTTTTAGTCTTTTTTTTTAGGTGGAGTTTATTAGGTGGAGTTTGAAGAAGATTAAAAAATATGGAAAAATATGGGGCTATATACATCATTACATATTACATATATGTATATCTTACACTTACAATATACAGGGTAAATCATTAAAAACTGCCTTCTCAAATATCTTCATAAATATTCATTTGATACAAAAACGTTTAGGATAACAGTTAGATAATTTTGAAAGGGCTACATTTTTGTAGTTTTAGTCTTTTTTTTTAGTGGAGTTCATAGGTTTCAGCGCTGATGAAGAAGATTAAAAAATATGGAAAAATATGGGTCTATGTAGATCATTATATATGTATATTATTTTTTACAATATATA